ATTCCTGACAGCTGTATTTTTTACAAATGCTGATTGACTTGTAGTGCTGAAAGCTACAGGTGAAATGACTGTCAACACAATTTAATAATGTGATTTAATTTGTACAATCATGGTCTTTACACAAACAGCTGCTGAAGGTTTTGAGGTGAAACTGCTTCAAAGTTCACTTTTTGTTTTTAACCTATGTCTGTATCCATCAGTTTTCGTTCAAGTAAGGCCTTAGAAACCTTTACTTAGAAATAGGTAGAAAAATGTTTTAATAATGTAAAAAAAAGAAACTCAAACGATGCACATTCCTGACACAACTCCAACCTGGGATGTGGTTTGATACCGTCTTGGAATTTGGTGGTATCAAACCCTGAGCCTTCTGGTGGAAGGAGTGTTCCTACCAATGCACCACTCCAGTGCCAGGTTTGAGAGAGTTACAGAAGTAAAAAAAAAGTGAACTAAAATCAATAGCACTGATAACACTGTTGTTTTCTTCCCACTAAAACCTCTGCTGCTCGTGACATCACAATCTACAGAGGCAGCTGCACGGTTTAATAAAACCACCAAAGGGCAGACCAGACACAGTGACCATGAAGCATCCAATCTACTGGTCTGATCCTTCAGTGTTTAGGCGTGGAATGAAACAATTTTCACCAACAACTGAAGAAGCTTTTGTCCCAGCACGGCTGAGTCACACATGGTCGACCCCATCAACTCACACAGGTACTTGAATTGAGAAACAACAGAGAAATGTTTTACAGAGTTACTGGAAAATTTCCCAACACACCTAACAAGACTAACTCATCCAGCATCCTGCTAATGACTCAGTGTTCAGTGAAACATGATGTGTGTGTGTGTGATTACTTTCGGCTAAGTGTATTTCTGTGGAAGAAAGGAAAGGAGGAGGAGGAAATTCAGTGACAAAAGAGGAACGGAGTGTAGGTTGGCAGAGGGTTTGGAGGAAGAGCCCAGACAGCACCAGTAAACAGACAACTGCAGCAGGGAACATGTGCTGATTGACTTACACCATCAGTTGACATATTATTCCCAAATGAATACAGACTGTAATGCAATAAAAAAAAGGCGAGAACGCAGGAGGGACAGGCCTGCCACTGCCGCAGCTTGTCAGAAGCTGAAGGGACTGAGGATCATTCAGCTGATTTTTGTTTTTTTCAGTCTTTCAGACTCGCACCAATCTGTCGCTGTTCTCCTTGTCTGCCTCCAGCACACAAACATGTTTTATTAGTCTGCTCTGTGCCACAGCCAAGTTTCACATGGAGCAGGC